ACTTAGAAAGACTATACTAATACTCAGTCTAACAGAGATTCCTCTCAGCCTTAAAATTAACATCCTTGGGAGTATCACATTCTCACAACTTTAAATCAACATTATTACTTGTTCATAAATTTCTATCACCGTAACAACTCATTAAAATACATGGAAATTTACCCAACTTTATACAATTATTTTATATTATGAAATAACATAGATAATATAAAAATACTGAAAATATAGTTTTGTTTTTAACACCTCAATCAATTTATTAAACAAGAAAAATTTCCTCAAACAACATAATACAGAACTACAAGCATTCGCTCACCACCAACCATGTACAACCATTACCATCTCTACTCAATTAAAACTAGCCATAATCATACTATTAGCTAAAAAAGTCGATCCAAACATGGAAAATTAGGCACATGATCATGACAAACTATATAAACTTACAGCAACAATAATAATATGATTTGAGAATTAATCGGATTGTGACTTAGGACGAAAATGGAGCAATTTTACAACTAGTTTTAATACAAACAGTACTTGCTCTTTTTTTTTTTTTTTTTTTTTTTTTTTGTGTGTGTGAATTTAACAAGTCAACATGGCCATAAAATTTCCTAAAATATGTCCAGCATCTCACGCAAAACCCAAAGGAAATTGACAGCTTGCATTCATAATAAAGCAAACAAATTAATCATGCTCAACCGAAGAAAACGAGACTTAAACAACATGCTTTCAACCGAAAATTTAGTAATTGAACATGATCAAAACAAAAATGTAAAGACATGATAGAAGCGAGAAATAAAAAACAAGATCCACAAGCAACCACATCTCACACAAATCACACTATCAAAACAGAGTACGAGTTTAATCGAAACCGCAAACGAAAATTCAAACAAACTAATCCTTAACGCATCTAATCTTATCTTAACCCCATCATGATTTCTAGAGTAATGGAGTTATGCTAGTTACCTTCAATGGAGAGCAAGAAAAATAAGTTTAGGAGAGAGGAAAAGATCGCCCTGAAAACGTCCCGAAAGAACTCCGATTCCCACAACCTTCCTTAACTTTGATTTCCTTGGTTGATGGTGTTTTATAAAAAGGTAAGGAAGAGAAGAGTTGCAGCCAAACCCACGCTTAACCTAAATGAAATTTCATAAACATTGAGAGAGTTTTGAGGGAAGAAAACTGATGCATGAATGCAGCAAATGCATGCCCAAATCTTGCGGTTTTGTACGCTCCAATTGAAGGAAGAAGAATAGATTTTTGAACAGCCACTTAATTAGAAATTAAAACACTTGATTAGGCTTGATTGCTCGAGTGATTGAGAAGCTTCTAAGCCAAAAATTTGAGCAGTAGCTCTAGCCTAGCAGCCGTGCAAGAGGGAGGGAGGAATAGGCTCAAAAAGGCTTCCATGCAAACCCTAGATTAAGAAACCAAATGGACTAATAAGGGAGGTTAAACTATAGACTATCAGGGGCTTAAGGAGAGCAAATAAACAAAGTTATACAAGCTTAATTGGACAATTAAATACCATCCCAAATTCTATCCCGAAACCAATCCTAGTTGACCCAAACAAAAATCTAAGAGAAAAACAAAATAAGAAGCAAATAAAATACATATAATAATGACAACATTATTAATAGTAATATTGATATTACCAACAATAATAATAATAATGTTAATAATAATAATAATAACTTATTAAAAGTTGAAAGTTAAACGGAAGTCAAAATATCAGTGGAGTAAGCGAAAATTATTCCAATCACCCCTCCTAATAAAAATTTTTGTCCACAAAACTTACAAATGAAATAGTCATTCAAAAGACATTATTGAAATAGGCAAAAAAGAAAATATCAAACTAAGGCTCGACACCAGCGTCAAAAAGCTCGGGATACTTGAGTCTCATAGACTCCTCGGTTTCCTAAGTAGCCTCTTCATATTTCTAACTTCTCCATAGTACTTTAACCAAAGGGACCACTTTCCTTCGAAGCGTGCAGTCTTGACGATCGAGAATTTTAACTGGCCGCTCCTCAAAAGTCAAGTTTGGATCAATTGTAACCGACTCAACTGGAATCACATGAGAAGGATCACTACGATACCTTCGCAATTGCGACACATGAAAAACATCATGAACCTTTGAGAGATTCGGCGGCATTGCTAACCGGTAAACCACTTCACCAATTATATCCAACAGCTCGTAAGGTCCTACATATTTCGGACTAAGCTTGCCTTTTAGCCCAAAACTCATCACCCCCTTCATTTGAGATACCTTCAAGAGAACCTTGCCCCTGACCTTATACGAAATAGGCTTGCGACGCAAATCAACAAAAGACTTTTGCCTATCTTGAGAAGCCTTCATATTGGAACGAATCACTCTTACCTGCTCAACGGTTTCCTGAATCAAATCCGGGCCCAAAACTAGTGAATCACTTATGTTGCTCCAACAAGTAGGACTACGACACTTCCTACCATACAAAGCCTCATAAGCAGCCATCTGAAAACTCGCATGATAACTATTATTGTAGGAAAATTTCACCAGACTCGACGATTGAACCCTAGATTGCTGAAACTCAAGAGCACAAGCACGGAGCAAATCTTCCAACGTTTGAATAGTTCTCTCTGTCTGACCATCAGTAGGAGCATGAAACGTAGTGCTTAACATCATCTTCGTACCAAAGGTCGCTTGCAAAGATCCCTAAAAGTGTGATAAGAATCATGGATCACGATCCGACACAATGTCTTTCAGGACACCATGAAGACAAAAAATCTCATTAGCATAGGCTTCCGCTAACTTTTCCATTGACCAAGTGTGTCTCATAGGAATGAAATGAGCCACCTTAGTTAACCTATCCACAATGACTCACACGGCATTTTTCCCACCAGCAGCTTCGGGAAGACCTATTACAAAGTTCATAGATATAGAGTCGAACTTCCAAGCGGAAATCGGCAAAGGTTGCAACAAACCCCCGGGACTCTGTTTTTCAATCTTTACCTTTTGGCAAACTAAACAACGAGTCACAAATTCAGCTATCTCCTTCTTCATACCTGGCCACCAAATGCTCACCTTGAGATCCTTATATAGCATTCCACCACCCAGATGATATATGGAGTGTTATGAGCCTCTTCAAGGATCTTCTACTTAAGCTTAACATCATTCGGGACACACTATCGACCCATGGATTTCAAACTACCATCGGCATAAATCTCGAAATTCTCAGCTTGACCCTGTGCTTTAGCCTCACGGATCTTTTCTAACACCGGATCATCTACCTGCTTAGCCCTTAATTCTTAGAACAACTCCGGCTCGGCACTCATAGAACCCAAGAGTGAAGAGACAAACCCTGTCGGTACAACTTCTATATTTAGCTTTTAAAATTCTTCGAACAACTCCTTAGACACTACTATAGCGGCGTTTAGAGAATGTTTGTTCTTACGACTCAAAGCATCCGCTACTTTGTTAGCCTTTCCTTCACAAAGTCTGGAGTCACCTTGTAGTCTATGATTAACTCTAACCACCTTCTTTGCCTCATATTAAGATCCTGTTGAGTAAAGATATACTTCAAACTCTTATGATCGGTATACACCTTACATGGAACCCCATACAAGTAGTGTCGCCATATCTTTAGCGCAAACACAACAACCGCAAGTTCGAGATCATGAGTTGGATAGTTCATCTCATGAACCTTCAATTGTCTCGACGCATAAGCGACCACTTAACCCTCTTGCATCAGAATACAACCTAACCTATTCTTCGAAGCATCATTATACACCTCTAACTCAATCCTTTCGGTAGGCAATGTTTGTACATGTCCAGATGTCAACCTCTTTTTCAGCTCTTGGAATGCCTTCTCGCAAACCTCGGACCACAAGAACTTGGAGTCCTTCCTCATTAGCTTTGTCAATGGTTGAGCAATCCTAGAGAAATCTTGCACGGACCTTCGATAGTAGTTAGCAAGGCCTAGAAAACTTCGAACCTCTGAGTTTTTTTTCAAACTTTCCCCTTCAACAACCACCTTGATCTTAGAAGGATCCACCTGAACCCCATCTTTACTAATGATGTGGCCAAAGAAAACAACATCTTTTAACCAGAACTCACATTTAGAGAGCTTGGCGAACCACTTTTGTTTCCGAAGAACATCTAGAATCAGCCTCAAATTCTTTTCAAGATCTTTCTCATCCTTACAGTAGACAAGTATATCATCTATGAAGACCACGACACACTTGTCAAGGTACTCATGAAATGATCTATTCATTTGATCCATGAAGATTACAGGTGCATTGTGAGATCGAAAGGTGTCACTTCAAACTCATAGTGACAATATACCTTGTATGAAAAGAAATCTTTGGTATGTCCTCCTTTTTTACAGGAATCTGATCATATCCAAACCTCAAATCGATCTTTGAGAAAACTCTTACGCCTTTCAACTGATCGAACAAGTCTTCAATTCTTGGTAAAGGATACTTGTTCTTAATAGTCACCTTATTCAATCACGGTAGTCTATACATAGCCTCATACTACCATATTTCTTCTAGACGAACAAGAAAAGAGGACCCCAAGGAGAGACACTCGGCCTAATAAAGCCTTTGCCAATCAACTCTTGCAATTTAGGAGGCGTCATTCTATACGAAGCCTTTGACATGGGAGCAGTACCAGGAACTGAATCGACACTGAACTCAACGTCTCTTTCTGGAGGAATACCCGGCAATTCATCATGATACATATCCGGACACTCTCGAACAATTGGAATACTCTCGAGCTTTTCTTCCAGAGATTGGTCTTTTACTACACATAAGAAGACCTCATTATCCTTTTGTCGCTTCTTTCTCATTTTTAGAGCAGAAATAACCTTCACACATATCTTCACCATGACACTGAAATAGAAGATTCGGTTTCCTGTGGGGCCACAAAGCGTCATCTTTTGATTGCGAAAATGGATGGTTGCATGATGTTTAAACAACCAATCCTGCACGAGAATCACATCAAACTTGATCATTGGAAACTCTTTCTAATTAGCAAGAAGCTTAGTTCCCAAGATATCGATATGCTCATCTTTAAACTCATTATGGCACGGAAAATTCTCTCTGGAAGGGAGAGATATTAAAGACTTTACAAGTGATCTAGTAGTCAAATTAGCTTTTAGAACAAAATCACATGCAATGAAAGACACAGTAGCTCCAGTATCAAACAACACATAAGCAGGTACAGAATTAACAAAGAATGTACCTGAGATCACATCCGGTTGCATGTCTGCTTCAGCCCTGTGTCATCACATAAATGCAGTTTTTTACAGGAGCAGAAGGACTAGCAGGTTTAACAGCAGAAAGATAAGCAGCATTTGGGTTCTTAGGACACTTGAAGGACTTACGACCCACCACCTTCCAATTGTAACAGATCGACAATTGTAGATCCGTCACAATACTTTCCTAGATGATAGTCTTTTTCACATGTACGACACTTACAGTTGGAACTCGATTTGAAACTCGAAATAGAACCTGATCCCTGATGATAGTTTCCTCAAGTACTAGAGTCAATCTTTGGCTTCTTAGTCGGGGATTGAGTGAAAGTACCAACCGGCTTCTTCGCATTCACGCTCCTTGCAGCTTCCTTTTCTCGGATGGAGGCATGGATTCTAAGTGCAATCTCATAGGCACCCTGAAATGAACTTGCGCCAGAACTTAGGACAATGGTCCTAACCTTAGGATCCATCTTCTTGATGTACTGTTTTACCCTCTTAGATTTTGAAGGCAAAATAATGGTGGAAAAACGGGACAACTTAGTGAACTTATCTTCTTGCTTTTGCCAACGAAGCTCATCAGGATAAAATATTTCCTTTAGCTTGGTAGGAAATTTTTTCCACCCAAAACAAGGCACTGCCATGCACTCTTCACGAACTGTACTCCACCAGCTATCGGCTTCCATTTTCAAATAATAGGAACCGATTGTCACCCTCTCTTGCGGAGGACAGTTAGTTGCAGTGAAAAACTTTTCCATCTCTCTAAGCCAACTTTCTAGAACCATTGGGTCAGCGGTTCCTTCATAGATAGGTGGTCTGTGATGATCAAAACGGTCAAAGTCTAATTGCCCTTGATTAAGCGGAGGAGCAACAGTTAGATTTGACAATGCTAAAATGGCATCCTCAATTGCCTTTCGTCTGCGTCGTGCATCAATCTTCTTAGGACTAATTCGTGGATGCATTCTACAAAAAGAAAAGACAGGTTAGCTCATAAAACACTTCAAGAATAAACATATAAGTAACAAAAAAAATATACCCTTGGTTTCTTCCTACCCAAATTACTCATTGATAAACTTCTTGAAGCCTAATATGTTAAACTTTTAGATCACTAGAACTACAGATTTTGTAGAAAACTGTAGCAACTCAATGAGAGTTTTAGAATGTTTCGCTTTGATACCGACTGTAACATCCTGTCTAAAACATAAGGCAAGACGTTAGTGAAAATAACGTCGAGACGGAAAAGTCACTCTAAAGGTTACCAAGAAGAAATAAAGAAAATGATTAAATAAATGAGATAAGTAAAATAAAGTGAAAGAATTCCCAAATGAACATTAAACACTTCCAACGAGGGAAACAACCTCAAATCTGATTATCCCAAAGGAGAAGGTCCAAATATAACAAAGGCAAGCCTATAAAACTGCTAATAAGTAAACTAAACACTCTGCTCTCAACCTAGACTCAACAGAAACTACTCTTCACCTGTAAATAACATTAAGGTTCCACAATCAGTGGGGACTAACTAACTGTTCTCCCAGTACTTATAGAATTAAAAAACTAAGTACAAAAAACCTTAGACACAAGCATAAAACTTAACAATATGTGGGAACATCAACTCAAAAATAATTACCTGATAAGCTCGAGGGAAAAATAAAACTTGGAAACATGATTATAATATAGATCAAGCATGTAAATAAAACAACGTAAAAATATCACCACAAGATTTAAGGATAAAATATAGTAACTCAAAACAAAACGGTAACTCATATAAACGATAATTAACACTGATAAAGGTTTTTTCCCAAAATCAATAGTATCTTTAAAATAAATAAATTTTAACCTTTTTTTAAAAAAAAAAAAAATTTATAGTGAAGCAAGCATATAAAAATATGAAGGTCGGTGAAATCCGTGCCCACAAACAAAGGTTTGTTAGGGTGAACCTACCGACGATTCTACAGCCGTCTACGTCTAAAAATTGCCAAAATCCCGGTTTTCCAACTCGAATTTCGCAACCCCAGTAGTTTCAGACGACAACAATTAACGTAGGAAACTGCATCTTGAATTCCGCAGCCCAATCAGTGTCTTACACTCACAAATCATATAAAATTTGTAAACATACTTCTTAAAAATCATCCACACATTTAAAAATCATTGACCCAATTTAAAATGCTGCAAGTCTTTACTTATATGACCAAAATGTTGGGTTTTGCGGTGTCCGACACCGCGCGGAAATAAAACCCAATGACCGAATCGCATGCATAATAATTACAACATAAACAAAAGCATGCAAATAAACAAAACGCGAACACATAAAAAGAAGGGAGATAGAAGGAAACTAACCCTAGACGCGGGCTTTACTCACTCAATGAGCTCGGACTTGAAAGTTTCAAGCTCTGCGAAACCACTGACTATTCACATCCTCACTCAGCGAACCGGAACTAGTCCTTACCTCGTAGCTTAGATGAGGCTAGACCAAAAATAACTTAGAGTTACGAACTAAGGTTTTCTCGATTTTGGAGATCCCTTAGAGTTCACCAACTCAAGTGAAAATCCCAATACCCAATGATTGGTATTTATAGGGAAATGTCCCCAAGATTTCCCATCGTCTTTCAATGTGGGATAGTTGGTAAAATGCCAAAGGAAAGAATTAATGTAATTCTAAATCAAATTAAAATGGCAAGTTAATCATCAAACGACAAGTGACATAAAGTGAGCAAGGATACAGCTGCGGACCATAAGGGGGAGGAAAAGTTTCCCCTTGCTCCCTAAGCAAACTACCCCTCACAAACCGGTGCAATGGGAGGCGGCCAGCTGGCTGCCCGCCTTGGGCACCGAGGTAGCCATGCTGGCACCTAGTCCTTTGGTAGGGTCTGCTTAGCTAGGCCTTTCCGCATCAGCTCGCACCAGCGATCCACGCATATGAGGGCTGCTATTTGCTGGGCGCTGTTGCTGCTACGCACCAAGCTCAGTGTTAGTGGCTTGTGCATGGCGCGCGAGTTGCTGGGTGTGACAGCCCGCATGCACGCTTGGGTATGATGCCACGCCTTACCAGTAGGGTTGTTGGGCGTGACAGCCCGCATGCATGCTAGGCTTGCAGCCAAGCACTGCCTAGCGGCAAGGTGCTCGGCTAACTATGCTAGCCCACCTAGCCCTCAATTGGCTAGGCCATATCGACGTTAGGACTATCATGCACGTTGACTTATTGTTTGAATGATTTTTCGCTCTAGTCGATTCCTAAATTAGACTCGACTTTTGATGCTCAGCTTTGACGCTTTAAGCTCGGAATCTGACATCTTAGTTCGTAAAATCTCTATCAACTCATTTAATCGTTCAGATTAATTCGTCGCTTTGGTTTGGTTACACAATTTGGTGTGATCCGAAGGGTTCAGTCAAGAGCAAGCTGTAATATTAATTATACATTAATATTATTGATTGTAAGCAGCCTCCAGCTAGGCATTCCGATCACTTGACCTCACTGAATAATTAGCTTTCCTAATTAATTCCGAATCCTCTATTGGAATAATACACTTGTCCGAAGGACACCATTCCTTTCAATCTCCCACTTGTCTTCCTGGACAATTGTGCTGATTGTGTATAGCCTGTTTCCTATGTCATTTAATGTCTCTTTGTGAATTATAAGGTAAGATTATAAGTCATCCTTATTGCGTCCAAAAGTGCTTCTCGATTTCTATGTTTGACTGTCGATAGGCAGATGATTTCTAAAATCCATCTGAGCACGGTCATGCATTTTCACAGTCTCGCTCTTCAAGAGGCCTTGTAAACAACAAAGACATGTTCCCCACTAACAATAAGGGGACATTCCTAGTTGTTAGCTTCCCTTACTAAGAGGCCCAACCCGCCCGAGTGTTGCCTTTATAATCCACTTGTACGACAGACGTTTGATAACATCAAAACGGACTAGTACTGAAACAAGAGAAATTACAATGCTCATGGTTATAGAAAGAGGTTCTGATAGCCATAATGAGTAATATACTTATGATGATTGTTAAATCTCTTAAAGTATTCTCATATATAGGTCGATCCGGTATAGTTCCAAACCAATACATGTGCAAATGGTTTGTGACATTCTTGTCCTTGTAGCACAAGAAACGGTGCTATTAAATCATAATACACACTAATCTCACGTGGTCATTTGTCGTCCAACTTTCAAATGACCTTGATTAGGGATAATTTTGATATGATATTCAACGTTCACTTAATAGGTGTTTCTTTATCCAAGACATTGTATTGATACCCTATTTGAATATTCACAAATCGAATGGAATTATTATTTAATTCTAAACTACAATTAAATAGAAATGGAATAATAATTTACAGAAAAATTAAATTACTCCATAAATGAATGGTTTAACTTAATGTTTTACATTAAGATCTCCACAACGTAATTAAAACACACATACAGGGAAATCTAAGCCAATCTCCAATATTCCTTGTTCCCATTGCCTCTACATGCTTGTTGTGTTTCAATTAAGGCAAAGGTTTAGTGGGTGGATCGGCTACATTGTCTTCCATTCAAATCCTCTAAATTCTGATTTCACCCTCGGACTTCCATTCCCTTATCATGTAAAATAGCCTCATGACATGTTTGACTTTCTGATGCTCCCTTGGCTCTCTGGCCTGAGCAATAGCCCCACTATTATCACAATAGAGGTCTATTGGTCCCTTTATTGAGGGTACAACACCAAGTTCACCAAAGAAATTACGAATCAAAATTACCTCCTAAGCTGCCTCAGAAGTTTCTAAGTATTCGGCTTCAGTTGTAGAATCTGCAGTCGTGCTTTGCTTAGCACTCTTCCTACTGAACGCTCCTTCATTAAGATAGGACATGTATTCTGATTGCGATTGAAGTCGTCTCTATTAGTCTGGAACCTTACGTCGGTATAACTTTCAACAACCAAATCCTTACTCACATCATAGACCAGAAATTTACCCTTGTTCCTTTTTAGGTACTTTAGGATATTCTTGGTTGCAGTCCAATGCGCTTCTCATGGGTCTTTTTGGTATCGGCTCGAAGACCTCAAGGCATACGATACATCCAGCCTTGTACATATCATGGCTTACATGATCGATCCAATAAGTGAAGCATATGGAATCTGACTCATTCTCGCTCGCTCATCAAGTGTCTTTAGACACTGTTTTTTTCTGAGAGTTATGCCATGAGACATGGGTAGGTGGCCTCTCTTGGCTTCCACCTTATTGAATTATGCCAGTAGCTTATTGATATAAGTAGTTTGGCCTAATACAATCATCCTCTTAGATCTATCCCTATAGATCTTAATACCTAATATGTATTGTGCCTCTCCCAAGTCCTTCATTGAGAAACACTTTCCAAGCCAAGTTTTTATGGACTCCAGCATTGGGATGATGTTTCCAATGAGCAATATGCCATCGATATATAAGACAAGGAATACGATGTCACTCCACTAGTAGAAAAAATTAAATGCGCACTAAGGAATCACACCGCTTCTTAAAAACCGGTGGGCAAAAATGTGTTGGCACCCGTTAACCGATGCCTTTATTTTAAAAAATGAAAACCTAAAAAAAAAATAAGAAAAGGCACTGGTTAACCGGTGCCAAAAAATCCTTATATTCTCTTTTATACTCCCTCAGCCCCTCTCTCTCTCATAATCCGCCTCTCTCATATTCTCTATCATCTCTCATTCTCTCTCATCTCTCATCTCTCGTTCTCTTGTTCTCAGATCTCTCATCTTCTTCTTCCTCATCAGTTCTCTCTTCCTCATTTTTTCCTCATTTTCGAAACATTATTCGACGTTTCGAAACCATCGCCACCGCCGTTCATGCAACCATCAGCCCCCGCCGTTCATGCAATCACCAACCGCAGTTCTTCTCTCTGTTAATTATTAGAAATCAAAAATTTGAGGTTAGGGTTTCTAGTTTCTTTAGTTTTGCGTTTTGGTTCAATTATTTATGTTAAATTGCCTTG